GCCCCTGGAAGAACTGAGCCCTCCCTGATGCCAGTCTCTCCTTGCTGGCTGGATAAAGTAACCATCCCTGTTGAGAACGCCCAGGTGGCCAGAGCTGCAGGCACCCTCTGGGACCTGAGGGCCGCCTTCGGTCAAAAGCCAGCAAGAAGCTGGGGGTCTACGTCAGACAGCTGCAAGGAAATGAACTCTGTCAGCAACCTGAACGAGCATGGGGGTTAATTTTTCCTTATTTGCGCCTCCAAATGAGCACACAACCTGGCTGATACCTTAAATGCACCCTTCTGAGACCATGAGTAGAGTACAGAGCTAAACTGTGCCTCGCCTTCTACCCACAGAGACTGCAAAACAATAAATGTGTGTTGTTTTAAGCTCCCAGAATTGTAGTCATTTGTTACTCTGCAATCAAAAAGTAATACAGCAATTACAATCTAAATTCCACTAGGACAGGGCTTTGCTATGTTTTTACTGGAATGGTCATTTAGTAAGTGTTGAATAAACTCTTCTGCTTGTTATCGAAAGTGTTAAGCAAGCTGGTTGTGTCTCATGTGGATGTTTATTTGTATATTGTTAGGACCACACTTTGAGCCACTGTTACTGGGTTTATCTCACTGAGTCCGGGATCACTCCGGCTTCTGAACTTCTCACTGGATTCTTCCCTTCTGTAGCCTGCTCGCCAACTTCCTCTCCACTAGTTCAAATTCTACACATTTTTTATGCACATCTTTAGCGAATATAAGTTGGTTTACTGTTGAAAAGCGGAATGCTTTCATTTTCATAACCTAAAAACTATAGTTGGATTTCATAGTTTTTCTGAGCTCTAAATTTAAAGCTAACACATGTTCTTCTGGAATCAACTTACATTATTTGACACTGATAAGCAAATATACACATATTCTCAGATTTTATATATTCACTACTTTTTAAAGTCCTAGTTTTCAAAATACTATTTTTAAATTTGTTTGTCTTTGTGTATATGTGTGTATACTCTAAGTTAGTAGATATAATTATTATTAAGGAGACCTACTACTTACATGTCAGATACTATTCTAGGCTCTAAGGACTATATTTTTCCATTGCCCCTTTGAATCTCAAAATGACCTCTTCAGGTTTTTATTTTCCTTTTTGCTGAGGGAACTAAGCTAGCAGAACTAAGGTATGGTCACACAACCAATTAAGTGGCAGAGCTGGGATTGGTACTTAGATTTGTTTGACTTCAAATCCAGTGCTCTGATTTCCAGTATCCTAAACTATCTCCTTAAGTAAATAAAAAGTTAAATGAAAGAAAATCTTCATAAGTCTCAAAATATATGCAATAAGCATTTCACATTATCTTATATATCTACATACTTATCAAAAATAGCCATTCAATACTGATCTTGTTTTCTTCTTTTTGTTATAGTATTCATCAGGCTAAACATACTTTAAGCTACTAAAATTCAGAGGTGCATCTTACAAAGAATAAATTACATGTGAACTAACAAGCAAAAATGTACTTGCATATGTGGGTGAGAAATGAATGAATTAAAGAATGGAGGATTACTTTTCTATCATGTTTCTTGTGAATAAGAAATAAAGCTTTCTAAAAAGATGTGAATTGGTGATAAAAAATATTTGTTGGATCTATTCAAAGAGAAATGTCCAAGTACATGGACTAATGGTTCCACATACTAATGAAGAACTGAGCCTTTGTGTAGCAGTATATTACATTTATAAACAGCAAAAGCCCCACCCCCTTACTCAGTTTTCTTATAGATATTAAGCTAAAGAGAGTAAAGCTTCCCCATACAGGTCACAGGGTTAATTTCAAATTATACTTTGTATTTCGCACTCAAAAGCGTCACTAATCAAAAGGATCTAACTTATAATTTAAGTGAGTAATAATTTAAGGTCAGTTTTCTAGTGCATCTGCGTTTGTGTATGTGTGTTTTAATTATAAGTAAAGCTAGCAGTGTGCTTTTTTAGGAAGGACTATACTATGCAAACCAGGCAAATCTGACATACATAATAAAATAATACCTATATAAGGGAAAACCTCCAGCCAGCCTTTTAGAGAAAAAAAGAGTTACAAGGCTAGAAGTAGATGTTGCCAATATAGACATCATTATTTATAAGAAGAAAGGGGGTTAATTGTTTCACTGACACTGATTCTAGTGATAGTCTCAGGAAAAATGAGGAGAACGCTGTGTCCTTGTAGAGTAATCACTCCTAGTCAGCAGCAATTCATACTGAAGGGAGTCACAGAGACCCTTTATTTGGCTTTTGAACTTGAATGGGGCAAAGAACAGTTTTTTTGAAACTATGATAAATGAACACCATTTACATAAATTTCTGAGAGAGGAAAATCAGAAGGAAACACAAATTTGTAATTTATAATTAAGAACTGGTAACTGGTTGTAATTGTTAAAATGCTAAACTTTATTTATTTATTTATTTTTTGAGACAGAGCCTCAAGCTATCCCCCCTATGTAGAGTGCTGTAGCATCACAGCTCACAGCAACCTCCAACTCCTGGGCTCAAGCAAGTCTCCTACCTAAGCCTCTCAAATAGCTGGGATGACAGGCACCCAGCTATTTTTTGGTTGCAGCCATCATTGTTGTTTTGGCAGCCCCAGGCTGGATTTGAACCTGCTACCTTAGGTGTATGTGGCTGGTGCCTTAGCCACTTGAGCCACAGGTGCTGAGCCAAAATGCTAAACTTTAAAAGGACATGGATTCATCTGTTGGCTCTCTATTCTGTTCCATACATCTACCTCTCTATTTTTGTGCCAGTACCATGCTGTTTTGATCACTATGGATTTATAGTATAATCTGAGGTCTGGTAGTGTAATTTATAGCTTTCATATGAAATCTATAACCTAATTACAGCCTAAGAATATGGGGAGGAGGGAGGGAGAGGGGAGAGGAGAATGAGTGGAAGGAGGGTGATTGGAGGGATCACTTCTATGGTTTATCTTACAAGGGTACAAGTGAATCTTTCTAATAGTAGAATATGAACGTCTTAACACCATAACTAAGAAAATGACGTGAAGGCTGTGTTAACCAGTTTGATGAAAATATTTCAAATTGTATGTGAAAACACGACACTGTATCCCAGAATTGCATTAATGTACAGTTATCATTTAATAAAAAAAAAAGGAAATGGAAAAAAATTTCATGTATAAAAATATTAATAATAAAATACTTGTGTAGACTTGACTCTATATACTTATTGACTTCTGGTCAGAGAAGACTTCCTTAAGTTTAACCATTGGGAACTAAAGAGCTTAATTTTAATTAAAAAAAATTAATGATGATAGAGAAATAATAGTTACAATGAGCAATGATAATAATTAAATTACCAAGTGTGTTCTTTCCTTTGGGGCATCTAATTTTCCCACTCAACCAAGTGAAGTGCAGACAGTTATCATATCATGTTTAAGGAAAGGTTCTATTGGCAAATCATATGTCACTTTTGAATGTGCCCAATAAACTGAAATAAAGTTTAGAATGAGTAGCTAAGGACCCTGACAGATTCTGCCCTGGTGTTCTTCCTCCCTGGAATCAGAAACCAAAACCAAATATACTGCAAAGAAAAATTATCCATACCAGGTATTTTTTCAAAACACTTTTTCAAAACAATTTTTCAATTATGTTGATAAGACATCTTATTATAGCTGTTCACATTTTCCAAGTTACTTTTGCTATATTACAGTTGTATTTCTCGTCTACAGCCTTTGAGGTAGAGACTTACCGCGACCCTAACTGGAAGGAAGAGCTTCTTGATGATTCAGAGTTATGGCAGTAGACTGAGTTTGTAACCTGAATTATTAATTTACTAGGTAAGTGTATTTGAACAAGTTGTTTACACCCCTGAATTTTTTAGTATTATAATAATAATAGTTTTGTTAGTATTGTATTTGGTTTCCTGTAACATGTTGTATTATATTATTGAGATTGCTCCATTCTAATACAAAGAGTTTTCTGTTTTCATTTCATAGATGCACATTGCACTTTGGAATGAACCATAACTTTTAAACAGTCCTCTATTAATGAGCAATAGATTATTTCCAGTCTTATGCCTTACAAATGAGCTGCAATGAGCAATGTTGCATACACACACTATTTCCACATGTGGGAGGGCAGCATTTTACAGCATGAATTCTCACAAGAGGAATGCCATGTCAAAGGGTGTGTGCATTTGTAGATTTGATACATATCACTCAATTTATTCAGAGGATATCGTTCCAATATATACACAATCGTTAGCAAATGATGAAACTGTCTACACTAATTTTTTCATTGATGATGGGGGGATGTCAGCATTTATGTTACAGGCTGAAATAAAGTTACATGTTGCATATTCTGAAGATATTGGCAGGTTGCTCCATACCAAAGGTAAGCAGTTTTGAGCCCTAATTTAAAAAGAATATACTGTATATTAAAGCACTAGTGATGGGAAAAAAAAAGATTTTTTTAGCTGTTGCTTAGATTCTGAAACAATAAATATATTTCCAAAAGTTCAATGTAGTTCTTGGAAGATCAGTTTAATTATCACAGAAGATTATATTTTTCTTTTGTAGAAAAATATCCTTCACTCCAGTGATTTTATTTCTATAAAATTATTACTTTTGAAATAAAATTCACATAACATCTTAATCTCAATTCTCATATTAGAAGCTTAAAAAAATTCCAAATGACAGAAGCTTTTGGCTTCTTTGCCAAAGAACTTTGTAAAATCACTTTTTAAGAACCTACTACCTGGTCTGACTTCTTTATAAACATTACGTAATGCAATTTGTTCAACAACTCTGTAAGGTGTGTGGTATTGACCTAAGTTTAGGGACTGGAAAACTGTGCTCACTAAATTAGCTCAAACTGATACAACTAACAAGTACCAGGAAGCAAATCAATAGGTGAAACTGTCCCACAACTTCAGTCGAGAGAAATCATCATTGTATAAGTGAATGCAATTTGCAGTAGACACATAATCCACGCTAAAGCTACCCAAAGGAAATGTCTTACCTCAAAAGCCATTGACAAGGAAGGGACAAGAGGTTTCAAGTGACCAAATCTGTACAGCAGTAAGAACACCAAGCAACGGAGAGTTTCCATAAGAGCTGCTTCTGGTCTGAAATGAAATGTCATTAACATCCATTAGCTTTAAATATGCTCTTCACATGGCCACATGCTATAATTCTTTATGATACTGTGATAAACTTTAAAATAGTCAAGAAATATGTAGTATTTTAATTATTTGAGATGCATGTTCCTCTGAAGCTATTTGCAAACAAGCATTAAACCAAGAAGGAAAATGCACCTTTTTCCAGAAAATCTGTTCTTCATGAGGTTATTGCTGAATTTGAGCTCTGTTGAGTTAGAGTGAAGCTAATCGTCAACTAATAGATATAATATTAGACAGCTAAATTTCTAGGGTATAGAATGAGACTTCCTTCACTGGCCTTTACACTTCATTCCTTAAAAAAATCAGTTGTTAGAAGTGATATTTATTTCTCTAACATAAGGAAGAAACAAATGCCAAAGTTTTATATTTTAGAAACTACACGACAAAGTTCCATAACATACCGATATTTACCACTCCGTGGAAAGTCTTAAACTGAGTATAAGAGGGAAAAAAAGTGAATGAATTTAACTTCTTGCCTTTGATCGAGAAGAAACCCAATGGAAGTCAAGGTCAGGATGACGAAGCAGACCCTCAGAAGCAGAGTTACTTGTGACAGCTCCTGTCAGACAAGCACAGAGATCAATGACTCCTTCAGAGACTTGTTAGAAGGAACAATAGCAGTTAAAGCTGACAAGACAACAGCCCAGACTTTATTTTCTATTACACCATTTGTCACTGACCCTTTTCAAAAAGATTGACTAAGCGGACACCATTTTGGTTTCCTCAGTGTGTGTCATTTAGTTACCTTCTTGGACAGTTGGAGAATGAATTAGGCAATTCCATAATGATACATTGCTTCCCGTGTTCTTTCTAAAAATCCTCTTTTGAAGTTTTCACTTCCACAATATTTTAGAGCAAGAGAGCCTCCATGTTTGGAGAAATCACTAACATTTTGTGAATAAATGCTATGTTCCAAAAGCTGCTTTTAATATCACCAAATGTTCAAGGTTTCAAATCCAAAGCTTACTTTAACACAAAAGTATTTAAAGAAGAATGTGCTTGGGAGTGCAAACACACTTATGAAAGAGATCACATTCCTATTTAATGCAACCTATATATACATAATATACGTGTCAAGTGTTATTTTGCATAATTGTTATTTTGCACAAATTCTTTTGGTCAGAATCATTAGTTTTGTGTTTAGTTTACATTTACAAATTATGTTTTTATTGTTTGGGATTCATTGACAATACAAAGAATTAAGATACACTGATTGCATTTGTTAGATAAAGCCTCTCTTATAATTGTGTCCCACCCCCAAGAAATGTGATCCCCATCGGCCCCTTTCCTCTTCCCCCCCCCACTCCCTCATTCCTCTGTGCCATGCACAAATTCCATTACAGTGTTTACGTAGCAACTACCATTTTACATCTCCATGCTATGTGTTTACTTTAAATTTTTTATATTTCCCCCTAAACCTTGCAGAGTAGGTGTCATTATATCTGCTTTATACATTTTTTAAAAAGGTAATCAAAGTGTTGTGTAACGTTTCCACCATTACATAGAAAAGAAAAGATGCCTTTCAAAGTCAAAATAGGCCTGCATTACCTCAAAGCATAACAACGCTAGAAGACAGTTGAGCAACGGAGTTAGAAAGGCTGGTGGCGGAAATCTAAGCGAGACCACATGGGCACAGCTTAGAGCCAGGTGCATACAGTTGCAGACTGAACATGAATCACTGAGCTCAGGGGATGGATACACAGCCCTTCAAAGATTCTTTACTCCCTGAAGGTATGTAAGGTTCATCTTTATCAGAATCTCACAGGTATGATACAACAGTGACCAAACTACTATGAAAATACTCCATTTCCCTTTTTACCAGTTGAAATAACTACAGGTAATTTCAAGTAATTGTTAGCTAATATTCCTACCCATAACTAAATTGCATCTGTCTGAAGCTATAAGGATAAGCAAAAGTCACCAGTTATAATTTCTGCTCCCAGGCAGGACCTCAGCTCCACAGCATCTCAAAAACCTTCCTGAACTGTCATGGCCAACATCCTGGCATGGAAGCAAAATTGGCAAGGGATTGCAAACTCTCCAAAGCAACAGTTTAATAAGAGAATATTGCTGAATGGTCAAAAATGTGAATAAAATGTATCCGAATGTTGAGGAGTGGGGGTACCTGTCAGTATCAGATGTAGGACGGGGGCTCAGTGAAAACCAGAATGTCTTAATGGAGAGACAGAGAGAGAGTGTTAGTTCAGGGGATGTTAACAATGGCTGCTTGGGGACAGTGAGGCAAAAAACATCAGAAAAGTATTTTCCTGGTGGTAGACGTGACTAAGGTGTGTTGGAGTAAACTAATACTCGATCAAGGGAAACATTTTGTTTCTCAAGAAAGATGCTTCTGTCACTGTTTTGCTTCACTAAGATTTTGAGGGAAAATTTAATTTAGAAGGATGAAATGGTTTGTGCCCCCCAAACTATAGTACACGTATGATTGAACATTTTGTATAAAAACAGAATTTATGTGAACTTATCAGCCAGGTATGCTGATTTGCATGGGAAAATTATTTTACATTTCTTAAGTTCAATTATGTATTGAGAACATTTGAACTAAAATATGAGTTTGCAAGGACTGTCATATGTACTTAGAAATCGTGCCTGGCACAAAGTAAAAAGTCAATTAACGGTCATGATTAGTATTATTGTTACTGTGTTCAAGGGCTTAGACTCATCTTCATGACAATGAGATGAGTGAGAAGCATAAACAGAGGGGCTATTAATTCTTGCAAATATCAGAACACTGAAAGGAAAAATACATAGTTCAATGTGGTTATGGAATTTATGATCCCTGTACAAAAGAAGAATTCCTCTTTCTGTAATTATTTCCTAACTACTGGGATCAGAGTGGGAACCCATTTAATACAGGAATCAAGCTGCAGAGTCACTAGCTCTACCTGGCTAACAGGCATCTGGAAGTTCGCACGTCTAAAACATTGCATTTGATGCCCTCAAAATATTAAATATTTTAATATTCTTTTTTTATTCCTTAATAATCAGGATTGTCCTAAAATGTTTTAATTTAAAGGAAGGTAAGAGTATTAAAATAGAGAATTCAATATAGAACAGATGTTTCCCTTAGAGTTTATTTTTCTATGTTAGGCTGAAGTTTTTCCATGTAGCACCCTTCGATAGGTTAATAAGGCATATTATAATCAATTGATCTGCTCCAAATTCTACACACTCACTTCATGAATATTTATTGACTATATGCTAGATATTAGGGCACATATGAGTTTAAGACAGTGAAAAAAAGAACAAAATTCCTGACCACAAATTCACACCACAGTAATCCCTGCTGATGGGATGACAGACTAGCTACCTTCAAGCTGGAAGGAAAAAGACAAAGAATTTATAGATAGTCTTCCTTCTGTGTTTTAAATAATATATGTAATCACATATTCCTTAATCAATTTTTATAACAATTAAAGATTTTATTTCTCATTGGGTTTACTCCCATTTTATAACATCAACTGTGGGTGTATCTTTCACTTAAAATATTTCTGAACTAAATCACTAAAATGAAATTATTCTAAATTAATCTTTGGATACATTATCAATCCTTCAGGAAAAGCATATGAAGAAGTTTGGAACCATAAAAGTTTGTGACTCAAAAAAATTATTTTTACTGTTTTAATATTATCTTCCAAATCCCAAACAATATGACAGCACTTATTTCCATAGGTTTCCTATTGTGGGAATCACATCCAATTTCTCACTCCCCAAAATACTGGAAGCACCCTATCCACCCCCTGCAACTTTCTTTAAATAAAAGAACAAAAATTACTCAAGAAGAGTTCAAGAAAGAATTACTCAAGAGTTCCCTGACTGCATGGAAACTACATATTTACATGTTTGATGTGATGTTGCTTAAACCATCAATGAACATAGGGGAATCCTTCTCTGCCCACGGATATTATCAGGAAGAAAACTCTTTTGTTCTTGAATAGTGTAGTCAATGTTACTTCTTTTCACATTTCCCCACTCAGCAAATCTCACAAAAGGAGATACAGACCTCATTCACTACATCCTAAAATAACAGAATGCATCTATGTTAAAGATGCATTTTTAAATTTTATGCTTTATCAGAGATGATACTATATTTTCCACAATTTGATCCTAAGGATTTAGAAATGAAAATGTCTTTATTTTGATACTATAAAAATGTGGTGCCTTTTCAGTAATTTCTTTAACACGTATCTGACAAGGGCGGTGCCTATGGCTTAATGGAGTAGGGTGCCAGCCCCATATACTGGAGGTAGTGGGTTCAAACCCAGCCCCAGCCAAAAAAAAAAAAAAAAATGTGTCTGACAAGAGCTACTGAAGTTATTAGTTTGATTCAAAATTATCATTTTCTCAAACATCTGTAAAATGAGCTTAGCACTGCCTCACACCTGAACTCCAGATCCTCTGGCTGGGTTTGCCCCTGCACCTGTAATGCTGCCCTCATCACTCCTATGGCTCTGTGGTTTCCACCTTCCAGATACTTTAAGCTTCCAGATTTGTCATGCTGAATCCTAAGGCTTCAAGTTGCTTTCCCTTGTGTTACAACATAGACACAGGAAAGGGGGACAATGTGACCCTATAGCACAATTTATAATTCTGTGTGGGGCTCAAGAATCTGTCTTGAGATAAAATCTTTCTCTTTAAAAGAACTGTCAATATAGACTATCATTTTAGCCCCAAACTTTTGGAACTCTCTGGATGGCTACCTTGGAAGCATATTAAAAAGAGTATAATTAGGATGAACATTTTCTAGAATTAGGAACAAGAAGCAAACACAATAAGTACATCAAAAATGAGAATGCTTTGGCCAAAAGGTTTGGTAAATATATAGTTCACGAACATTGAACTGACTTGAAGTTACTCAGTCTCTACAATAATTGTAAGAAAAGAAGCCAAAAAACGCATTATATTTTGCAAATCCTGAAAGATTAGGTATTTGAGAGTTCTATTTTAACCTCGGGTTTTATTCCATTGAAATAGGAATGTGTACTCAACAAGAGAGAAAAAAATGGGTCCAGATTTATCCTCCTAACTGAAAACAAACAATCACAATAGATCTAAAATGATTGTTTTCAAAACACTGAACACTGGGCAGCACAGGATAGTGAGCTCAGGGCAGTACATATTTTTATTTCAAACATGTATTCATGATATCACCCCATGAAGTGGACCCTGGCAGCTGAGGAATTGATTTCCCAAGCATTACTAAACCAAAATCAACATAAAAGCCTGTGGGTCATATCACTAAGCTAAACACTGTATATTTAAATGGATGCCTCCCAAGTTTCCGTAAGAAAGGAATATGCCTTTTACACCTTTGTGGTGGCCATCCCATAGCTTTTTGACTCTCAAAGTTATTTATACAGAACTTAAAACATGAAACAAGTAAGCATTTATCTGCTCAAGTATATGCATAAATAGAAAGGCTGTGGGACCACAGCAGGGTCCCCAATTACAAGTCAGCCACAACTTTTCCATGTGATTATTGGCCACAGTGAATCTGGAAAAAAATATTGCTGTTGGATTTTAATGTCTTTCTACGCTTTTGGACATCCCTGAAACTAAAAAGGCACTGTAGATTTCTGCAAATAAGCAAGCTTTCTTCTCAGCCACACAGCATGTCTTCAGCAAAGAAAAACACATGTGGGAAACAAGCAAACACACCTTTCAGAATGAATTTGGGTCCGGAATGAAGCTGTCTCCAACTCTGATTTTAGTTTGAAAGGGTTTCAACACTTGCTATTTCTCTTCGTCAATATATCTCCCTGAGTTTCTCATCTCATGTCACAGTTTTTTGTGACAGTAGAAAAATCTCATAAAAACCATACCCTAAGTCACATCTTTCAATAAACAGAGTCTGGCTGTCTGTTTGCCCGGACAGCACTCACCCGTGCCCAGGCATTCCCATCTCTCGGCGAACTTATCTGAAGGGCTCCCATTTCGAAATCAACATGGAAGCTCAAGAAGCTTAAAATGAATAAATTTCTATTTTTGTTTCTATGCAATAGTACAATTTACTTAGTAAAACTGAAAAAAAGTGAATCATGAAACTGTATCCAATATCAAGAGGTGCCTATTTACATTTTCTCTTATTTTCATCCTACTATCTAAACTCTATTAATTTATATGTATTTTAGTTATGTTTGGGATGACTGTACTAAGCTAATGTATTAAAAGAAGTAATTTGTGATGGGTTAGTTATGGTACTTGAAGAAATATTTATTAGGACTTAGGGTAAGCATCTCTCTAAGTGTAACCAGTTTGGGCAGTTTGCTGTCTACACGTACACTGTGAAGAGTGATGTGGTCCATGCTACTATTACAGAAGCTTTGTTCCTAGAATAAATTCTTGAGTTCAAATTTTTGGAGGCTAATGGCAAAGAAGCCTGATTCAAAGTGGCATTAGTGGTAGTACATGTAAGAAAGAGCAAGTGATAAGGAAATATGTAGCCAACCATTAAATTCGCAAGGTATTTCTGGTCACATTGTTTGCTGGTTCTCGTTTTCACTTCTCCAAATAGAAACTAGAATCTCAATCATTGTTTTCTGCTACAATCAGAAAAGTCTATCATATGTTTGTTTCCCTGTACCATTTTCTTTACTTTTTTTTAATTGTGAGAGGACAGAGAGCACACACAAACTTATCTGTTGTTTAAAAATGGGGTCCCTATCAGGAGGAATATTCAGTTACCAACTTTGAACACAAAAAGCAGAAATACAGATGGACAGCATCCGCTGTTAGGTCTTCAAATAACGTTAGCAATTAAAACGGCTTTTCTCAATATATTTTTTGAACTTTATAAGAACCCTCTGTAAACCAGTTTTATTTAGCAGGGCACTGTGTGACGTACACTATTGGTTGTCCAACCAGAAAATATCTCCCCAAACTGTGCTGATTTTGTCCAAGTAAAAGTCAGGGATGTGCTCCAGGGAGAACTGAGCACTTTATCCTGAGGGCATGGCGGGTACTTGGTACAATTCACTCCCTGATGTTAGTTATGGCTTCAGTGTGGGCCTGTCCTGAACAAGGAGACACGAAAGGCAATTTTGGGGGAAGGTGTATTTTTCTCCTATTCTTAAACAAAATGAAATAAAATTAACAATATACTCTAGGAAAATTGAACTTGCTTCCTTTGGTTACATTTTGTAAGGACAGGATGACTAGTTGGGGCAACTATCTTATGATAACAGCAGCCAACATATTACGGAGAAGTCTTTTTGCAAGCTCCAGATTTGTGAATGCTGACTTAATCAACTGGGCCCTCCTGCCATTAATGGCGTAAGTAAAATGACACCTTGCAGGCAGGTTTCTATGTTGTAAGTGATTAAAGAATATTTGTAAAAAACATGTTCAGATCCCATATTTGTGATTGAGGAGGATTTATATAGATCTAATGTCTGTCATTTTTGCCCACTGGGATGTACTTCTCTTTTTCTATATATTGTCACCTCAGTTCTTCTTTCCAGCCTTCCCGTTCCTCCTCGGAGACCATGAGCATCCTGTGTAGAGACCCTGCCCTCCACGCACAGGCCGGGCACATGATCCAGACCTGCCGTGTTGACTGGTTCAGTAAGATGCAGTGAACCCAGACAAACATTGGATTTGGTAGTATTATTGCTGGGGTTCTTCAGGTGGCATTTAAAGCTAGAGCAGCTAGTAGCGCTCTTAGCACCGAGAGCGGTGACAGCCCGTGGGAGAATCTGCACTGAGACAAGCAGAGCAACAAGAAGGAAAGACGGGGCTGGATGACATTATTTCACCTCCTGGATCCAGCATTGACTGGAGAGGAAATATTCCCAAACTTTTCAGTTCTGTGAGTTAATAAATTCAATCTGGGTTGAAGTTCTGTCATGTATAATCAAAAAGTACGGCCTAACAGTCTTGCTCAATAAGCTGTTTAAAGTAGACTTCTTTCTTAGAATTCTGTATATAAACCACATGGAACACACGGAATTGTTAGAGTGGAGGTAGTATAGTGAGGTTATCATGCTAGTGTCTAATTGCTAACAATAATTCCATAGGGTTTATATGTTGAAACTACATTTCTCAGCACACATTATTTATTCATTTCTGTTACTTACAGAGTTTTTTAGTACACTGATGTCTATTAATAACAGCCCTTATTCTTTGAGAAGGGTAGATTATTCTTGCCTTATTTCACAATTCACTGACTGCTAACCCGATTTGTATTTATTTATTTATTTATAGAGATAGTCTCACTTTATCGCCCTCAGTAGAATGCCATGGCATCACACAGCTCACAGCAAGCTCCAACTCCTGGGCTCAGGTGATTCTCTTGCCTCAGCCTCCCAAGTAGCTGGGACCACAGGCGCCTGCCACAACATCCGGCTATTTTTTTGGCTGGGGCTGGGTTTGAACCCGCCACCCTCGGTATATAGGTCGGTGCCCCACCCATTGAGCCACAGGTGCCGCCCTGATTTGTATTTATTTTCATTTCTTCTGAATTCTTGTATTTTTCTTTTTAGACTTTTTCACAGTATTCCTCATATCTGAAGACACTTTTCTGTCATATTTTTATCTACTTATGTGTTATCTTTTTCCATCCGGTAATGAATATTTTTTTGAGTCTAGTTTCTTTTAATTTATTAATTTTCTCTACAGCTGTCTTTCAGCTGCATTTTAAGTCATTGAGTTGCTTACACTGATTGCCATATTTCTGTTTCCTAAAACCTTATTTTAATTATTTTTAAAATGACAGAGCACCTGTCACAACAAAAATACTCAGTTTCCTCAATGGACTCATAGTTTCTCAACATTTGCAGCCCATTAGGTGCTCTCCAATTTTTGCCAGCTCTTTTGTGCATCCTACAAGTTATCTTTTCATATATTTTATACAGTACTTTTAGGTGTCCTGTATACCTTAAAAATAGGTATATATATGATACCAATTAGCTTTACATAGGAACACCTTTTGTTTCTTTCAAGTACAAACATAATCATACAGATTTAACTGTGTAAATGTCAACATTCCTGACCCACTGAGGTTATTTCATGAGATGTACATTTTCTTGGTAACAAGTGCCTGATTTCTTTTCTATTTTACCTACTTCCAAATTAGTTACCTTCCTGGCCTTTTTGAACTATTGTAAATCCTTTCATGAAGAACATAACATAAATAAATCTATAAAAAAAGGTCCATGTTAAAATAAAACCTCTATCTTTATCCTTTTTTTAGTCTATGGGGCATTTTTGCCTACCGTATGTCATTTTTGTTCTTTCCAAATAAAGACAATATACAGGCGTTCTTGGTGGCCAAGAAAATGAGATAGAGATGCCTGAATTAAACTCTGATCTAGTGATTTTACATTTGCCTTAGAAAAACTTAATATTCTGAATGCTTTAGAAAGGACAGAATAAAGGAAACTATATTGAAAACTCACTGACGTTACCAGGCCATTCTCTAAGTGGAGGTAGGTATTTTGAAATTGATGGAAAGTATGCTTTCCCAAATACATTTAGTTCTGACTCATGAAGTGTTTTGTTGTTGTTGTTATTTCCTTATAATTATAGTAAAAATTTGTATATGGCAAATAACTTCGTATTTATCACTTAGATTAACAGCTTACTACTACTTGAACATTCTATTCAGCAGCATTTTGGATATAATTAATTCACTTATACTTTGTAGTCTAGAAGAATTATTTTACCTGTTTAAATGTGAAATGTTGCCAAATTACAAAGAAGAATATAGCACAGCCAAAACATGGGGAGCTAATTTTCATTTTCAAAGTGACAGATATTATTCTTACAGACTGTTTAAAATGGACTTCACTTACAGCTGTATTTGCAAAGGTGTCTTCATAAAATGCTAGCATCAGAGCAAACTGTACAACTGTGTATATTTTAAGTAGTTGAGACGCAGACGATGAGAAAGGAACTTCTTTCCCGGTGACCTGGGTAGACAAGAAAGAAGGCTGTCCTTTATATTGTTCTAGGGTTTATTCCTTTCCCTGAAGTTCACCCTAAGCAAAGAGATTATGTAAAAAGAAAGTGCTTGGTGTTTTACTTTACAAAACGATTCTAAAATCCATTTGTTTTTGGATAGAAATGTGTCTCTAAATTAGAAGATTTTCTTCTCATTTCAGAATCTTTGCAGTTGTGATTTGGTCTTCCTTAAAAAGCGCAATGTGACAATTAATTCTGCAACATGTGTAAATGATAAAGATAGCCAAAATGAAGAGATTATATCTTCCCCCACTCAAAACACGCCTACAGTTGTACATGACACCAAAGTAAAAGAAAACAAAAGGCAGTCTAGGTGATCATGCTTCAAAAGGAAATAGGATTTTATTGGACACAATTTTTCTAAACCACTGAGTTTTTTGCAAATGTACCTTTCTATTTTATAAAGCAAACTCCAGCACCCATGCAACTTCATAATTCAACTGTATTCAAGTTGAATTATTTGTTTTAAAAAAATAACAAATGAATCATAGTTAAATAGGCTTTTTGCAGCTGAAATATGCTGATTATTTTCATCAATATCAAGTCACATGACTGTTACCTTAACTCAGTATGAACATAAACAGAAGTGTCTGGAAATTTATCCACAACCACATTTAGTAAGTGGATGAGAAAACAAACTTCTTTAGATCAAGATTTTGGTGAAATAGTAATATTCACATAAAATGTATGAATATATTTACTTAAAATGTCACAGGCTAACTTTTATATTCATAGTATCATCTTTGAAGTTGACAGTTGATTTTTCTTATTGTCTCCACATTACTATTTATAGCATTCATTTAAGGAATCGTAACACATGTCCTGTACGATTGAAATAAATTCCTTTTCTCATAATTATAGTGAAAAAGAATTCCATATTTAAATGGAGTTTTCATTTGGGTTACGGTGCTTCAAATATCTATATCTCTTGATTTTTGTTTTTTAGTGTGATTTCTTGTATTTAATATTTGTATTCTAAATATAAAAGGAATACAGTTATAGGCTTATCCCAAAACCACATTGTTTTGATGTTATTTTTTAGACTTTCTTTTCTGGGACCTCCGTTTTTCATGAGCAAAATTAAGGTTAAACTGAAGGCTCCCCCTATCTCTGGTGCCTTAGGACTGTGTCTGAGCCACATGCAGTTATGAAATTATGCCCTGCTCAAAGGCTCAGGGCTGTGGGCTTGAGGAGATCTGAAAACCAGCCTCTGTTGCTGTATTTCACAAATCTGCTTCCTAATAAAAGGCAGTGCCCACATGGGAAAAAGAAGACTCCCTCTAATTGGCATGAGACAGTGATCACTCCTTAAGTTATAGGCCCCAGGACTGCATCTAAGGAAATATCTTTTTACAGATTTGCATGAAGACAACCTGTATACAGGCTGGACCTGACAGTATGAGACAAATCTTCATCACCTCCTCTCCGTGAACTCTACTTACCTCTGGGATTTCTTCACTCAATCCTAGTCTTGGTTTACCTGGACCCCATCCTGGTCCTTTAAATATAACAGAAAACTTATTAAAGAATCCAGGTGTGTCCCAGAATGTAGTCCATATGTAAAATAAATGATGAAACTAGAAAAAAACAATAAATAAAGCTTTTTTAAAACACGGCAAATATAACACAAAATATTACATACAATTAATAGTGTATTTTATTTACTATAAGTTCCATGTTTTTCTTTATTGCATGTTATGCATGATTAGACTAATGGAAATCACTTTGCCACTGTGTTCCTTTTATAATTCATTTTAACATATTCTATTCACCATTAAGTGTGTTCTTGTTAATATCTCCAAAGTTCAACAAAATAATATTTTAAAAATTAAAAAAAAGGGCAATTGTTTAGAAAATAATCAAAGTAGAAAAAAAAGAGCTAAGAGGTTTTGCTCCCAATGAGTTAACTAGCAGCCTATGCCCTCAACAACCTTCTCTCACACTTGTGGTTGAACATGGAAATATATAAGGTTTGCACATTTGTTCAAATATTTAAAACATGAATATTTATTGTATTGTGTTATAGACAAACATATTTATCAAAAATGCTCAAAGTCACTTCTAATAGTAGACCTCTAAGGATTAACAGTCCATATTTTGCAATTAGAAATAGAAAAGTTTGATGACTAAGGTAAAAGTTTGCCTTGAATCTCATAGCAGGAATTCACATTCTTTAAATAATATACACTGGACGTTTATAGAAGTTGAAAGTATACTCACATGTGATAAGTGCTCAAATAATTAGCTATTAGCATAATTACCTAAGTGGTGTGTATATGTGTGTGTGTACATATATATCATGCCTGTGATTATAATGCACCAAAGGATTTAAAATACTCTTAGGGGTTGGGCACCAGCTATAGACTCCAGAAGTGAGTTGTATATGAAGTTTAGAAATAAATTACTGGAGGATGAAGTTTGGGCTCTATTCAGAATTTGTGATCTTGCTAGTATGTTAATTGTCTTTTGAAGAATTTCAACTGGAAGGATTACAAAAAAATGGATGCGGAAATTACTTGAACTGTTACAATAATGAATCTGAAACAATTAAGGAGCAATGTAGAACTTAATGGAATAGATATTGAGGTAAAGATAAATGTTAGACGGAATCTTAGCCTGGGGCTTTGCAATGATAATAATCATACATAAAATTAATGAGTTTGAGTTATAACACACATTAATACACTTATCTTTTTTTTTTTATTTTGAAAAGGGACTGCAATTTTATTTCTATCATTCCAGACATAAGCCATGAAAAATATCTGGTAATGTTTTAAAATAAGAAGTATTTTCTTATTTATTTGCTTTCTAAAGACCCTGAAGCTCTGGGATCTCAAGAGAGAACAAAATGAATGATCATTCATAGAATTAAAATTGGTAAGGTCAAACAAATAATCATATAAAGATGGCACATCTATTTAACAATTTTAAACATAATCTACTTATGGTATTGTGTTATAGATAAACATATAACATTAATAACATGATCTGCCTAATAATAAGGAAAATAAACAAACAAAAAAATTTGTCCTTTGGAACCCATCCATTGCTCCCTCTGATAGGTAAGAAATTTCAATGTATATAAAGGGATACAAGTGAAAGTAACTGTATGTTTTGTAGGTTCAAGTACTCCTAGGTATCACAACTTACTAACTTGAGATTTTGGGTAATATGAGTGAAGATGTAGAAGACGAAATATTAGACCCACTTGTGACAATTAGTACACTACAGGAAATTTGCATGTGAGGGTAAGCACCTACCACAGATTCAGGAGCAGTTCATAAATACCTGTGAGTATCTGACACTGTGCTTCTCCTAATTCTAATCATCCAACTATTTGTACAGCTCTCATCATACTCAATTTTCACTCTTACTGTGTTTCAAATATGAAGCCCTTTGTCCTGTGCAAGAGTGTCAACTTCTAAAGCCTTGCTTGCTGTTCAAAGAATCACTGGTCTACTAGCAGTCTTGGCATCCCCAGGTGTTTGTTAGAAATAGAATCTTGGACCAGACTTCAGAGCTACCCTGAACAGAATCTGCCTTTTAGTAGGATCCTCCTGTGATTTACATGCACATTGTTTGAAAATCTCCATCCTAGAAGATAGAGAGCAAGTTTTCTAATTTATTTTTAAACTTCACATTCAAGAATCAAAGCCTACAAAAAGTGAATAGAATTAAAAAAAAAAAAAAAAGAACTCTGTATTGAAGCTTTCAGTGTACTATTTTTAAATTGGTTTCAATTCTGTAAAGCTTTTTATTAAGAACATATTTAAAAATAATTGTTTATATTCTTTTAAGAAACATATTCTCTTCATAGTAAAGCTTAACCAAGATAGAGGCAAAGAGAAATTCAATGTAGTTGAGAACAAAGAAGAAAGATGATCAACTTTTGTTTCCAAAGATATTTTAAAAAATGCCTTTCACTTAATAAGTGATAGCAATTTGCAATGGCCTTTTATGTAGAGCAGTGATTCTCAACTGTCAACAGGAGTGCTGTGGCACACTGGTGAGCCATGAGAGGAGGAGCTCAGGGGTGCTGTGAAAAATTTTAAAGATCATTAATGAAATTAGTTTTGAAAGACATTCAAAAATATTCTTTTTTTTTTTTTTTTTTACTCTTATTTTGTACCGGGAAAGTTTAACTATAGGTTCAAGTGTGCCGTGAGATACAAAAAGGTTGAAAAACATTGATGTGGAAGAAGCACATTGCCAAAGTTAAACTGAGTTAGCTGAGTGTTGGGCTTAGACTGCAACTTGATTAAGTTTGCAATAGGTACGAACTTGGGTGAATATTTAAATCCCCGGATTGTCAGTTTCCTCCACCAGAAAGTGAGAACAAAAAGAACCACTACTTCAGAAGGTTTTAGCAATGTTTACATTAAATAATTCCTGCTGGCCTTAGCAGTGTCCCAGGCATAGTACAAGCTCCATAGGTGTCAATTAATTCAACTTTCTCCGAAAATTTGAGGCAGGTTTGAAAAGCAGACCCAATATGAATCTTTAATCTTGTCACTTACTGTAGCCAGTCTCCTGCACGGAGCTGTCACTGACTGACCTCTTTGGCTTTGCAAGCATTCTTATCTTTTTCTCATTTATAAGGCCCTAACCCTGGGGTATTTACAGTGGTCTGATGCTGACTGACTGGAGCTTCACAGACATTCCTCATTTCTCTAGTGCCAACCACGGAGGCCAGTGAACAACCAATACCACATGTCTAACAGAAAACTGGTCGAGTCCCACCAGTCTTAGCAGGTGAGGTAATGTGCAAACCTCACGGGTCTGTAATAGCTCCTGACACATAGGTCCGAGAAGAGTCGGCAGAGGCCTCATGTTGAATTTGTAACCAGAGTCATGCAGGCTTGAAACAAATATTTTTCTTACTGTGGGATCAGGTTTAATTATATGTGTTACTATTTCTCCTTCTGAATACATGAATATATTTTTTAGGTCTGTTCTGAGAAAGAATATTTTTGCTAAGCAGTCTCTCTTTTTTTTTTTAATTCCATGTGGCAGCCATTTTGAAAATTCATAGCATGAGTTGTTTTTCATTGTATTTTGCCTGATCTGATTCAAGCTTATTTGAGTAATTTCTAAATTCTTTTAGTTATTTTCTCAGGGCAGCATAGCATATCTCCATCTTTCAACAGCTAAGTTTTCTCATCACTACCAGATTTATAAAATGATATAGAGTCAAATGAATAAAAGCAATTACATTACCTGCACTTTGATTGGTTCAAATGTATTAATGGGATGTGTTAGACCATACACAACTTTTTCCTTCTCTGCTTCAAACGTTCCTGGAAGATAAACATTAAATATATGATCTTTGGCTTTCTGTGAATGAAAGAACTAATTTATTTTTTTTTAATTTTCATATTTTTTACTTACCAAAAATTCTATCCCAAATAATAAGAACACCAGCATAATTTTTATCTATGCAGTAACGATTTCTGCCTGTGAGAAAAAATATTAAAAAATAATTTTTCAAAAAATAAAGTTATGCTTTTTGAAATAGTCTTTGTTTTTAGAACATATTCACAAAACTAAGATTTTAATAAAAGAATGGTTTTTCTGGGAATGGCTTCTCATTGACAATACTAGATTTTATTTGTCAGAAAGGAGTTTTTATTTAATTTATTTTTCAGTTAATTTTGCTGAACAGAGAAAAGGTTTCCTTAAAACTATATGTGTGCTTTTTCTTCTCACAATTTTTCAGTTAAAAAAAGCCTAGGCTAAGTATAAATATTTTCCAGGACTATTATCAGGTGGGCCAAATCATCAGACACAAAGCCATTTTCATAATAAATTATTCAATGTTTCATATAAATTATTGTCCACTATAATGAAAATTTAAAAAGAATACTTGCATAGTTACACAAAATACAGTTTCCACTGAAGGCATACAGCTTTTGCACCATGTAAAGTAAAAAAAAAAAAAATCTTAAGCTGAACCATCATCATAAGTTGGGGACGTTCTGTGTTCCCTGGAGGTGCAAGAATGACTGCTGGGTTTCTCCGGGAAGCTGAGCACGTGTATCCCGTCCCATCCTCCCCTCTTCCCGTGGAAATGTGAGCTTCTGCTCTGCTGCCCGCCTTGGGGGAAAGAGCTGCCTGGTTTGGGAAGGCAGGGCTGCAGGGCATTTGAGCTGCCCGTGGTGCCTATAAGTTACAAAAATAGACCAATAGTTATTTGTCCTTGTATTACTAACTTCCTTCTCTCAATGTTATGTGTGTGAGATTCAATCACACCATTGCTTGAAGCAATGACTTGGACACTTGCTTTGCCATGTGCTTCTCTACTACACGAAAGGTCTGCCATCTACTTATCTGTTCTACTACTGGTAAAGGTTTTATTATTTATTTATTTAATAAATAAATAAAAAGGTCTATAAATAAATAAAGGTCTGCCGTCTATTTATCTGTTCTACTACTGGTAAAGGTTTTATTATTTATTTATTCATTTAATAAATAAAAAGGTCTATAAATAAATAAAAAGGTCTGCCATCTATTTATCTGTTCTACTACTGGTAAAGGTTTTTATTTATTTATTTATTTATTTATAAATAATGCTGTTGGGAACGTTACTGTCTGGATCTTGTGATATGCAATGTAAACGTTTCTACTACGACTTCAGTTGGTGTCTTTAAACCTCAGGTGCTTGCCAATTAGGATATTTTTCCTTCTCAGAGAAATGTAGCTTATGCTGAGTTTGTTCTGAGAAATTAGGCGGGAAAGTAAAATGTCGGTTATTAGATTCTCCTTAAATACCAGCAGTTTCCAAAAGCCAGGGCTCTCTAGCTTATAGATGAATGACTGTCAGCACGGGATCAGGAAGCAGCATTCAGCTGACTCCTTCAAAACCTAAAGTGTGTAGCTCCTCAACTTATTACTCATTTGTCTAATACTACTGAGCTGAGATCTAGGTACAACGGAAAATCCAAAGGGTAGATAGAGAACCTTCTCTGCTACACACACAACCCATGCTTTGGAGATGAGGCTTATATGAGAGAAAGTACCAAGGAAGAAAATGTATCTATTTATATAATGCCTGCTGACTATTTTGGGTAATTAAGATGAAATGAAGTAAAGCAAAATAATAACATAATTGTAAAAGAAATGAAGATAGAAAGAAAAAACAAATAGAACTTTCTTACCATGATGAACCCTATGATGGCTAGGAGTATTAAGAATCAGTTCCAAAGGACCAAGGTTAGTGATAACCTGTTTAAAGCAAAAGGAATATTATACTCAGAGCTATCATTAAGTGCATATATAATATATTAAATATAGATACTGATGTGAAGTAGAAATCCACACGAATTAAGAGATATTGCAAGTTTCTGAGTTGGCAACAGAGAGTGGGAAGAAGTTTCTCTGGTACCTGGAGCTCCATATAAAGCCAATAATAGTCCCTTAACCCTGTTCTGAGAGGCAGTATCGTAGCACAGTTAGGAACTGGACTGCCTTGGTTCTGTTCTCAGATCTCCCATTATTACTCTGTCACATTGGGGAAGTATTTAAGCTTTTTCCCACTCAGTTTCCTCATCTTTAAACAGTATCTACATAACAATGTTGCTCTGAGGGTTAGGAGTGTTACTCTATTTAATACCACTGTTGCCCAGGGACACTTCTCTCAGGTTTCATGTTGTTTTATGTTTTTTTCCTTCCACTATGGCTTTGATTGTTTATGTTCACAGAGCACATAACTGCAGGAGGGGAAACACTGGGTTAAGTAAGTACGTCTTCTAGAGTTGGTTTCACCCTGTAATCAGCCATGCAGCAACAGCTCCCGGGTAGTGGGGCCATCCTCTTCATTCAAATAGAACCCTAAGCAGCCTCTCACCTATAGACGCACCATCTCCCGTTCCATCTTAAGGTAAAATTTAAAGTCAGATACATAAAAGGGTCTTTTGTTGCTCTTAAAGTTGCTTCAAAATCTGCTTCCTAACTCTTCCACTGTCTTCCTCAATCTTTCTCAGGAAAACATTTCCCTATTCTTGAGTCTGCAAGTTCTAAGAACAATAGAAACAATGTATGTGTCATAAATAAGTACCAGAGCTCGGGTGTAAGGTATTTGGTACGCGATCTGAAAACTTGGCACCATTTGGGAAAACTTTTATTCTCAAATACATTAATCATTCTTTGATCAACCACGGCAGATACCAGAAAGTTTTATTTTCTTTTTATTACAATCTAAAAGGTTGTGTTAGTGCCTACCAGTGACAAAATCAATATGTTGCTGTAACAATTTAAGAAATTATTTGCCTCTAATGGTAATTCCACTTACAGGGAATATACAGAATAAAGGAATGGCTTAAATGATGCTTAGTGGAAAAAATGCCCAACCGGTGTGACTTTGGTAACAAGTAAGTGCGGGGGCGGGGGGGGAATAAGGAGATGAGCCTGCTTCATACTGTTTTTGTTGGGAGTTAAACTGGTGTTGTCATTGTGTGGGAAAATGAAATTGTTTTTTAGAATGATATCATTGCAGTATACACGACAGGAAGTTTTGCTACAAAACACTTTGGCAATGAAAAAAAAAGAGGATAGCTAATGCAATTGAATCAAAATCTTGATTTTTGTATCAAAATGATGAAGATATGTAAATTCATTGTTATTCACTGTACTTCTTGAATACCTGAATATTTTAATCTATAAACATTTAAATAAAATAAATTTCTATGAATATACAGTAATGTTCACTAAGCCAGTTGAAAATATATAGAGACCTCTGAAATGCCAAACATACTTCAAAATCACAAGTCTTTATCTAGCAGGCTTTAATTATATTTTGGCTGTCTCTGACATGATGAGGTATATATTAACCAGTATGATGTAAGCATTCCTAATTCTATATGAAATCAGCACATTGTACCCCATAAATGCATTAATGTATACATGATCGATGTGTTTATGATTTTATTAAAAAAAGAAGAAAAAACATTTGGTGTACACCTGCTCCGTAAACGCACAAGGCTATGGTGGCCCTGCCATCCTCACTTTGTGACATCCTGTACCCTCTTGAAATAAAAGCTGCAGCACAGTTGCCAGATTAGCAAGGCTGTGTCCTTCCAAGGACAGAGGTCATGGTCATCTCTCTATTAGACACTCTATTCACACACCTGACAGTCCTTGTATGCATCCCTGCTGCCTGGCTTCTAAGGGATTCTCAGTTACTAATAGGGGTGGGTAGAAATGTCTACGTGCAAGACATGTGCAAGGTCATTTATCATATGTTAATTTAGGTTTCCCTACCTCCACCTCTTTCTCTCTTTTTCTCTCTCCCTGGCTCCCTCTCTCCTACCTAGAGGTCCTATCCACCATTTTTAAAATTATTTCCATGAAAAATGTATTCTGAGCTCCAAAAAGCAAAACTTCCAATTAATTCTTACAATAGATCTCACGTGTATGCCAAAAACTCTGTATTTTTAATTTCAGATCTCACGTGTACACCAAAAACTATCTGTATTTTTAAATATGGTGAATAGGATTATTGGTTTTTTTTTTCTCGTGGATTAATTTAAGTTCTATATAGATCCTAGTTATTAAGCTATTGTTTGATTCAAAATATGCAAATATCCTTTCCCATTGGGTAGGTTGTCTATTTGCTTTGGTTGTTGTCTCCTTGGCTGTACATAAGCTTTTCACTTTAATTAAATCCCATTTGTTTATTATTGCTGTTGTTGCTATTGCCATGGTAGTCTTCTTCATAAAGTCTTTCCCCAAGCCGATATCTTCCAGTGTTTTTCCTATTCTTTCTTTGAGGATCCCATACATCAATGGGGAAGAGAGATGAACAGAACCTTATCTAAAAAAGACAGATGAATGGCTGGCAAACACATGAAAAAATGCTCATCATTCCTAATTATTAGAGAAATCCAATTTAAAACCACCGTGAGATATCATCTACCCCAGCGAAGGGCCTTATCACAAAAGCTCAAAAGTGCAGATGCTGGTGTGGATGTGGAGAGAAAGGAACACTTTTACACTGCTGGTGGGACTGCAAACTAATACAACATTTTTGGAAGGAAGTATGGAGAAACCTTAAAGAACTCAACCTAGACCTCCCATCTGATCCTGCAATCCCATTACTGGGCATCTATCCAGAAGGAAAAAGAACGCTTTTATTATAAAGACACTTGCACTAGACTGTTTATCACAGCTCAATTTACAATCGCTAAAATGTGGAAACAGCCTAAATGCCCTTCAACCCAGGAATGGATTGGCAAGCTGTGGTATATGTATACCATGAACTACTATCCAGCCATTAAAAAAATGGAAATTTTGCAGCATTTGTACTAACCTGGATGGAGGTGAAACACATTATTCTTAGTGAAGCATCATGAGAATGGAGAAGTATGAATCCTACGTATTCAACTTTGATATGAGGACAATTAATGACACTTAATGACACGGTGGAGCATAAGGGAGGGGAGAACAGAGAGAGAAGTAGGGAGGGGGTGACGGAAAGGAAAAGAAAAGAAAATAGTGACTAATTCTCACATAAATTGGATTTAATTTTGACCAAAGTACATTACCTAAACATTAATTTTTAATTCAACTTGTTGACATGTTGTTTAGGATATTGCATCCTCATTTATAAGTGAAATATGTTTGTAATTTCCCTTTATAATAATGTATTTTTTCCAATTAAAAAAAAACACTGTGCTACAGGCACTGAGCCTTCTCACTTCACTTTTGTATGTTTATTTTTTATCCAACTACAATACAATACAAAAAGTAACTTCTATTTCTCAAAAAAAAAGGAGCTTGGCACCCATAGCTCAGTGGTTAGGGTATCGGCCACATACACCGACCACATACACATACACCCACATGATGAGTTGGAATCTGGCCCAGGCCTGCCTGCCAAACAACAATGACAACTACAAGAAAAAAAATGGGCAGGCCTGTGGTGGGCACCTGTAGTCCCAGCTACTTGGGAGGCTGAGGCAAGAGAATCTCTTAAACCCAAGAGTTTGAGGTTGCTGTGAGCTGTGACATGACAGCACTCTACAGAGGGCAACAAAGTGAGACTGTCTCAAAAAAATTAATAAATAAAAGGACATTTAATTCTAAAAAACCCCTCAAAATATTGTGAATATATAGGTCATAGATCAAATTATATTCCTATGAAATGAGGCACAAAAGAAATTATCCCACCTTTTTTTCTTTTCTTTTTTTTGAAAAAGAAGAATGGTGAAGGATAGAGAACAACAGAGTGAGGTTACTCAGTAGTCAAAATATTGAAATCTGATGTGTTGGTTGAGCTTTGTATCTCAGGCCGAGAAGCAGATGAGAAAGGAGAAAATCATTTTATCCTTGTTTGTCTCTTGGTGCCTAACATGTGTTATGAAAACAAACAACAAAAGGGAGTGGAAGGGGCGAGACTGACCAGCGTCTGCTGCCCAGATGCATTTCCGAGCCTTGGTCCTGGCGTGTATGCAGCCAGATTGAAAGCCACACAAATGGCGAGTGCATTCAGACGATTGGAACCTTGGCTGAGTGCATTATTTTTTTTAATATCAAGCTCTTTTCCTGAGAGAAAATCTTTTGCTCCTGCAGGCGAAAGCATGATGATATCAATATTGAAAGTTCCTTTTATTTGGGCGAGGGATAGTTAAAAGCCAAGTACAACACAGTCGACCACAGATAAATTTCCTGGTAGTGTGTCTGGTATCTTGGAGCTGGGGAAGACCACCTCCGAGTGGGAGATTCATCATTCCCACAGCCCAGTTAGATTCTTTCATGAAGAAAATCCTTTTGACTCAAAATCATGGAGAATGTATTAATATTTAATAAGCATTGAGCGTAACGACTTAATTATCACCCACTTTTGCAAATTCAGCCATTTAGCAATTCAACCACACCTAGCTCTGAATCACTTCCTGAAAATATGTTACTCTGGGCATAATTGCAGCTATTCTCATTCTTACAAGTTATTTACTTGTATTAATTTTTTAGATTTAGATGTGTTCTTTTAAATTATGAAATTTTAGAACACATGGAGGACTTTAATACAAAATAGCCCAAAACTCTGTTATTTAAAAAACCCATAAGACTGAAGCTCAGAGAGGTTAAATTACTTTTCAAATTCAAATACCTTGGAATAAGCCTTAAAGCCTTTTCAGTTTCAGCTCAGGAATTTTTCTGTTTTTCTATCATATTGCTTTTTTGACATATTACAATTTCCATCGAATAAAAATGAATTAAACTTGTAG